TAATTTTAAAAATATTATAATTTTTCTTATAATTTATTATAATTTAAAAAATTAAAATAATTTCTATAATTTTATTACAATTTCTTATAATTTTCTATTTTCTATATAATATTTTGTCTATTTATATTTTCTATAAAAAAAAATTTATAAAAGTCATTAGTGTTTAGGTCTCTTCAGATATACATATATCCACATTCTTGGATATTTTTTTTCTATATTTCTATTTATATTTAACTAAAGTTTTATTTGCGTTAATATTATGTACGTGTCATAAATTATTTCCATTTTGGCAGACTAAATGTTACAGAAATTTTTAAACTGATAAAATAAAATGCAAATAAATATTGCAGATTAAAGCTGAGCTTGGGACCAAATATCCATGATTTATATATTATCCCTGTAGCTTGTGCCCGAAAAAGGATGGATTGAGTAAAAAGAATGGTATTTATTTTAAAACGATATTTTTCACGTTGTCACAAGTGATGATATACATTCATTTCAACTATCTGTGATTTTTGAAAGTCCAAATATACAGTTATAAATGTACAAGTAAAATTTAGTACGAGGAAAGAAAATTGGATATCCAAACGATGATCGTTTTATTGTACCACGATGGACTTGAAGAAGCATAACTTCAACTTTCGGGACTTAAAAGATAAGACTATAAAGATAGAGAAGAAGGAGCCATCTTGTCATGCTAGAACAGTGGCGCACCCTATGGGCGAGTTTAATTATTAGCATCAGCTGTTTATGGTTTCTTTATGTTATTTTAAGGAAACGTGTTCTACTGTCTTTCTTATTTTATTTAACTTTTATTATTACTTGAACTAAAACAATTTGAAAGGTTTAGTTTACTCTGCCATAACAAGATGGCTGAACGTTTTGAGATTCAAGCTATCACGATTAGAAACTGTCCTTTAGGCCTTTAGATTCATAGAATTTACATAATACATGTAGGTAAAACATATTTCTTTAATTTTTCTTGCTGATTTAATTATTCATAGTAATTTTATTTTTAATGTAGCTAGTTTTACCTTTAATTATTGATGGATAGTTGAAGGTATTTTTAAATATTTCACTTTTAATACTTTTACTTTACCAAATTTATAGCAAAATTATTACTTATCGTTTTAAAAACATACAATTTGCTTGAATTTGTATGGAAATGTATGTAGATTGTATTAATGTCAATAAAACTTCCACCTTAGTCTAATATGTTCGGTATAATTCTGAGAGAAGTAAGGAAAGCTAATATTGTGACAAGTGCAAGACAAAGCCTAAGCTCCACCACTGTGACAATTATTTCAAACAGTATCATACTTTGTTAAACCATGTGTAATATAAAATCATTAACTGTAACAATATGTTATAGAAAAATTTAATGTCTTTGAATCTAAATTAAATTGGAAAAGTTAAATGATTTTATTCAATTATTGAACTGAAGTAACACAGTTCTGAATTCACAGTATACAAAGCATTATAGCTATTGGTTTGAAAGTTCGTGATTTTTATGATCTCTATTTTAAGAAATTGTTCAGTATTTAAATTTGGGTATATTTTGAAAAAAAGAAATATACGTTATAATTAGCTGAATAAGTTTTTCCAGATTATTTTTTTAATAATTGTTAAAATTATTAATTTCTTGTTGCATTATATGGTTTATACTTTCTAATTTAATATGGTCGTTTGACGTCATTATTCAAGATAATATTGAATGTAATAATACGAAAAACACTATAAATTGTAGTGAAGAGAATATTGTGGTTAACAGACTACTTTTTTTAATTTATGAAATTTCAACTATTCGATTTCTTTTCCTTCAGTAAGATTAAATATTTTCCATATTTTAATTTAGATGTAAAGATTAGGATTTAATTTACTTAATATTTAAATTTTTGAGTAATATAATTCAATAAAATAAAAAGTAAAATGTCAATTTTATGAGAAATTGTTGAATTTAAAATTATTACTAACAAATCTTAATATAGATGAAAAATACGTGTACTAAAATTTTATGTTAGCATATCAGGATAACAATTTTGTTTTTAGGATACCAAAATATATTTAAATATACTCACACACATATTACATTAAATAAATTCGAAATTCGATATAAAATATCCTCCATCAGTCAAAAACAGTATAATATATATAAACGAAAAAAGGAAAAATTGAAAAAATCAATATTTTCGAACAAAACAAAAATTTCGAAAAAATCAAACGTCATATAAATACTACATATATTCGAAAGCGTCCGATTCAACAGAGAATGATTCTATGATGAAAAATATATTTTGTTAATATTATACTTAACTCTTTCGGTCACGATATTCCAATGTTCCATGTAAAAAAATTACTCCAATTTACAAGCTCGAAATAAAAAATACCTTATCTGTCCAGCTACATTGTATAGCAAAATTTGAAATTAAATTTGAACAAAATCTGCAAGCTTGTATATGGCCAATACGACGTGAAATCAGAAAATGAAAATTTAATATCCCTTTCCACGTTGAAAACTAATATTCTTAAATAAGTACACCGAAAGGGTTAAAAGAGTCAGTTGTAACGTTATAAGTAGTAGAAGGAATTTATAAAGAAAGATGCGAACTATTTTTTCAGGAATTGCAATTTTTAGACGACGATAGAAAAGAGATATATTTATTAACACGTACCACAGTTTCGAATTTACGCTACTAAGAATTTAAAAAAGGAACGTTCCATCAAAAACGACGTCGAAGCAAACCAAATAAAAGAAATAATCACAATCAAGTGAAATTTAAAAAGAGACAAAAATTTAATGTGCCAGCCATTTTTCTTTTTTCCATAAAAATTATCTGCCATTCAGTTACGGTGCATTTACTTACTATAATCAACCCCTGCAAAAGTGCATTATGTGTAGTACTGAAAAGTCATTGCAATTTGCATGTCAATTGAGTTTTATGTACCATAAGCAGTGACATCTACATGACATAAATACTATGAATGAACTATACGGTTTTAATTTGTATTATTAGTATATTGAATTGCAATTTATTTATTTATTTGCATTTGCATTATTATTTTAAAATGTGTAATCATCGATCATTTCGAGTGAACGTAATTCGAATTAATTCATTATTTGTTAATTTAATTATTGGTACGAATTATTTATTTTCATTATTTATTTTCTG